TTGGCCGTGAGCGGGAGTCGAACTCGGCTCATAGCCGGTTTTGTAGCGGAGCGTAGCGCTAACCGCTGCACCACCAGCTCCTCTCACACACACAAAGACAAAGATCCCCCGTATAGCCTGCACAGACTGTTGGGGCAAGTGCTGTTAGCGAGCACCTATGAAGGCCACAACGGCACACGAGGGGGTGGGTGGCCAGCACCACGCCCGGCCGCCTTTGTCTCCCCCATTGCTTGCCGAGGGGTTCACACGGCAACGTGGACAATGTTACCTCCGATGTCGCAGCGACAACAAACGCCAAAGAGGCCGTCAACTGTAATTAGCAGAGTCATTAAACACGACGGGGGGGGGGGGGATGGGGGGAATTACAAACTCAGGCGAAAAATGATTAACAATTAACGTTTATTATCTCGACGCGAGCGGGCAGCCCACGTGTTCGGATGTAGCGGAACTTGGATACCAAACCACAGACATTTGCGATCATGATGATGATGATGCATCATCATAGTCATCGTCTGTTCACATCGGTTGCTTAACGCGATGTGGAAGCTACCTGGTCTGTCGCTCCGCACGAAGCCTCAGGTCTTCACGGCCACAGTCATTCCCTCCCCTTCCCTACGCTTGCGAAACGTGGACCCCCCCTAATGGAGCATCTTCGCCGGTTAGAAACATTTAGGCTGGCCTGCCTACGATCTATGCTGGGTTTAACCAGGCTGGATTGTGTGAGGAGCTCACAAATCCTTGAAAGATCTGGGCAAAGCCCCATCGGTGAGCTCCTCCGGCAGGCAAGGCTGCGTTGGCTGGGTCATGTAGCCCGCATGCCCAGCCACCGCATGCCCAGCCACCGCATGCCTAAACAGCTTTTGCTCGGCCAGATCGAGGGGGCTAAACGGGCGCGGCACGGGCTAGAGAAGAGATGGAGTGATGTGGTACAGGAGGACGTGGAGCTGAGTGGACTTGCCGATGACTGGTACCAGCGGTGTCAAGATCGGCCTCTGTGGAGGAGGCTCGTGAAGGACGCTACTGGGCAGTTGGAGGCAGTCGCCCTCCAGCAACAACGGAGGGCGGAAGAGCGACGCTCACAATAACGAGCGGAGCGCTGGGCGGATAAAACAGCAAGTTGGCACAGTAGGGGGCACAGGTGGTGCATCAGTCAGTCATCTCAGTCAGTCGACCCGTGGCACCTGCTGGGTCTGCCCCGTGACCTCCTGCCAGCGGGCGTTCGACACTTCACGTGACCTCAAGGTGCACCTAGCCTGGCACAAGCGTCGTGGTGACGTCACTTCCACTTCGTGGCGAATGGCGGTTGTTGTTGTTGTTGGAATTTATCTGAATCGATATGTTTGTTTGTCTCGGTATCGATCTGTCTATGTGTCTATGTATGTGGCCGTATGTTTGTATCTACGGGTATATGTGTGTATGTATCTATCTGTCTATGTGTGTGTGTGTCTGTGTGTGTCTGTGTGTTGACGATTATCTGAACCGGCCCTGGGCCTCCCCTAGGTCGACTAAACCTCAAATGAGTACCTTGTGCGATGTGTAAACATCGCCACTGGGGAGACAAAGGCGGCCGGGCGTGGTGCTGGCCCACCCACCCCCTCGTGTGCCGTGCCGGCCTTCATAGGTGCTCGCTAACAGCACTTGCCCCAACAGTCTGTCACAGGCTACACGGGGGATCTTTGTCTTTATCTTTGTGCTCGCTAACAGCACTTGCCCCAACATTCTGTCACAGGCTACACGGGGGATCTTTGTCTTTATCTTTGTGCTCGCTAACAGCACTTGCCCCAACAGTCTGTCACAGGCTACACGGGGGATCTTTGTCTTTATCTTTGTGCTCGCTAACAGCACTTGCCCCAACATTCTGTCACAGGCTACACGGGGGATCTTTGTCTTTATCTTTGTGCTCGCTAACAGCACTTGCCCCAACAGTCTGTCACAGGCTACACGGGGGATCTTTGTCTTTATCTTTGTGCTCGCTAACAGCACTTGCCCCAACAGTCTGTCACAGGCTACACGGGGGATCTTTATCTTTGTGCTCGCTAACAGCACTTGCCCCAACAGTCTGTCACAGGCTACACGGGGGATCGTTGTCTTTATCTTTGTGCTCGCTAACAGCACTTGCCCCAACATTCTGTCACAGGCTACACGGGGGATCTTTGTCTTTATCTTTGTGCTCGCTAACAGCACTTGCCCCAACAGTCTGTCACAGGCTACACGGGGGATCTTTGTCTTTATCTTTGTGCTCGCTAACAGCACTTGCCCCAACATTCTGTCACAGGCTACACGGGGGATCTTTGTCTTTATCTTTGTGCTCGCTAACAGCACTTGCCCCAACAGTCTGTCACAGGCTACACGGGGGATCTTTGTCTTTATCTTTGTGCTCGCTAACAGCACTTGCCCCAACATTCTGTCACAGGCTACACGGGGGATCTTTGTCTTTATCTTTGTGCTCGCTAACAGCACTTGCCCCAACAGTCTGGCACAGGCTACACGGGGGATCTTTGTCTTTATCTTTGTGCTCGCTAACAGCACTTGCCCCAACATTCTGTCACAGGCTACACGGGGGATCGTTGTCTTTATCTTTGTGCTCGCTAACAGCACTTGCCCCAACAGTCTGTCACAGGCTACACGGGGGATCGTTGTCTTTATCTTTGTGCTCGCTAACAGCACTTGCCCCAACAGTCTGTCACAGGCTACACGGGGGATCTTTGTCTTTGTAACTTGGCGCAGCTTCGCTCTGCCTGCCGGGGTGGTGGACACAATGGCCTGGGCGCTCATTTGCTTTCTGCGGAACAACTCCAGCGGGCCGACGACACAGGCAGACGGGGGCCCCCCACGGGATAAATAAATTAATAATGACAATTGTAACCACTCACCCCTCCCTCCTACCCCTCCTCCTACCCCCCACCATCACCCCCCCACTAACTCCGCACTCCCACCATCCACCCCCCACCAACACTCCCCCACCATCCCCCCCCCCCACCTAACTCCTACCCCCCACCAACACCTCCTCCTACCCCCGACCAACCCCCTCACCAACCCCCCACACTAATTCCGCACTCCCACCATCCCCCCCACCAACCCCCCCACCCACCATCCCCCCACCTAACTCCTACCACCCACCAACCCCTCCTCCTACCCCCCACCAACACCCCCACCATCCCCCCCACCAACACGCCCACCATCCCCCCCACCAACCCTCCCACCCACCAACCCCCCCACTAACTCTGCACTCCCACCATCCACCCCCCACCACCCCCCCCCACCAACCCCTCCTCCTACCCCCGACCAACACCCCCACCATCACCCCCACCAACCCCCCCACTAACTCTGCACTCCCACCATCCCCCCCCCACCATCCACCCCCCACCAACCCCCCCTCCCACCATCCCCCCCCCCACCTAACTCCTACCCCCCACCAACCCCCCCCCCCCACTAACTCCGAATCGCCATCAATCGATCACCGGTAATCGTTAATCGCACCTCAAAGTCGATCCAGGGCAGTAAGAGTCACTTCGGTCACCGGCCATGAAACTCAAACTCGCGGACCGTGCAGCAAAACGCAGAGAGACACACAGAGATTGATAGAGATGCGTAGAGATGCGTAGAGATGGGTAGAGATGGGTAGAGATTCATAGAGATTCATAGAGATGCATAGAGATGGGTAGAGATGCGTAAACTGCGGGCAGGGGCTGGGTGGGGAGGGTGGGGAGAGGCTGGGTGGGGAGGGGCTGGGTGGGGAGGGTGGGGCTGGGTGGGTGGGTGGTGGGAGGGGTGGGGCTGGGTGGGGAGGGTGGGGAGGGGCTGGGTGGGGAGGGGCTGGGTGGGGAGGGTGGGGCTGGGTGGGGCTGGGTGAGGGGTGGGGCTGGGTGGGAGGGTCACCCCGTGGTGCCCTTATAAAACTCAACGTTTCACCTACTCACGCCGGCTTGTGCCCGCCCTCACAGTGGGCCATATTTGCGGAATACACCACGCCGCCGTTGACCCTGCAGGCCATTGACCGAGCAACCCAACGTTCCTACCAGCTCCCTCCGCAGGGATGTGTTATGCCCTTGTCAAAGCCATCTCTTCGACATAACTCAGCAACTGTTTTCGCTGTTGGTTGTCCCTACCTGATGATGGACGCTTGTGTTGCGCCCGAAACGTCGTGATTTAACTGAGTTGTTTTCACTTTTTTATTTTATTGCATTCTTGTTGTAATAGGTTTTTACCCTTTCAACTGGTACACAAACTGACACCTTTATACAAGGCATCATGTTTGCAATAACCACAACACAAGCAGTCAAAATGCAAGGACAGTGCATATCATTATCATCATCAGAGTTGTTTCTTTTTGTTTGCATTTTGACTGCTTGTGTTGTGGTTATTGCAAACATGATGCCTTGTATAAAGGCGTCAGTTTTTGTACCAGTCGAAAGGGTTAAAACCTATCACTATATTTTGCCACTGGTAAAGGAGGTTTCATAGTGCATTCTTATTATTTTTATTTTTTTCACCCACGTGACTTTACCGAAAGATCAAAATTAATACAAGTAAAATAAAATAAAATTACGACGTTTCAGAGGCAATACAAGCTTCCGTCTTCAGGTGGAACCGTCACAGCGGAAGCTTGTGTTGCCTCCGAAACGTCGTGATTTTTATTTTATTTTTATTTTACTTTTATAAATTTTGATATTTTTTACCTACGCGACTTTACCGAAAAAACCTAAGAATATTAATACTTGCAGTCACGAAAGCTTAAAATCTACAATTTACCGAAAGAACCAACGGGTGCATGGCTCCTTGCAGTCACGAAAACTTCAAATCTAGAATTTACCGATAGAACCAACGGGTGCATGGCTCCTTGCAGTCACGAAAGCTTCAAATCTACAATTTACCGAAAGAACCAACGGGTGCATGGCTCCTATTTACCGAAAGAACCAACGGGTGCATGGCCCCTTGCAGTCACGAAAACTTCAAATCTAGAATGAACCTTTGCCCTATGCCCCCGTGTCCTTCGGCAGGGGCGAGTGCGTGACGTCTGGGGCTCCGATGGACGTGCGTGCGATCGTGCTGTGGACGGCGGTGGCTTCCTGCGTTCTGCGACGAGCGGGCGGTGCAGGGGCTGGGCTTCGTCAACTCGACGGACCAGGTTTGACTCCCCCGTCGAGTGGAGGTGGGGGGGGGAGAGTGGGGGATGGAGGGGTTCACAATTTGTGTATTTGTCGAAGAGGGTGGAGTGAGTGTCAGCCAGTCATCTTCGGTCATCTCGGTCATCTCAGTCAGTCATCTCGGTTATCTCAGTCATCTCGGTCATCTCGGTTATCTCGGTCATCTCAGTCAGTCATCTCGGTTATCTCAGTCATCTCGGTCATCTCGGTCATCTCGGTCATCTCGATCATCTCAGTCATCTCGGTCATCTCAGTTATCTCGGTCATCTCAGTCATCTTCGGTCATCTCGGTCATCTCAGTCAGTCATCTCGGTTATCTCAGTCATCTCGGTCATCTCGGTCATTTCGGTCATCTCAGTCAGTCATCTCGGTTATCTCAGTCATCTCGGTCATCTCGGTCATCTCGATCATCTCAGTCATCTCGGTCATCTCAGTTATCTCGGTCATCTCAGTCATCTTCGGTCATCTCGGTCATCTCAGTCAGTCATCTCGGTTATCTCAGTCATCTCGGTCATCTCGGTCATCTCGGTCATCTCGATCATCTCAGTCATCTCGGTCATCTCAGTTATCTCGGTCATCTCAGTCATCTTCGGTCATCTCGGTCATCTCAGTCAGTCATCTCGGTTATCTCAGTCATCTCGGTCATTTCGGTCATCTCGGTCATCTCAGTCAGTCATCTCGGTTATCTCAGTCATCTCGGGCATCTCGGTCATCTCGATCATCTCAGTCATCTCGGTCATCTCAGTTTTCTCGGTCATCTCAGTCATCTTCGGTCATCTCGGTCATCTCAGTCAGTCATCTCGGTTATCTCAGTCATCTCGGTCATCTCGGTCATCTCGGTCATCTCGATCATCTCAGTCATCTCGGTCATCTCAGTTATCTCGGTCATCTCAGTCATCTTCGGTCATCTCGGTCATCTCAGTCAGTCATCTCGGTTATCTCAGTCATCTCGGTCATCTCGGTCATCTCGGTCATCTCAGTCATCTCGGTCATCTCAGTTATCTCGGTCATCTCAGTCATCTTCGGTCATCTCGGTCATCTCAGTCAGTCATCTCGGTTATCTCAGTCATCTCGGTCATCTCGGTCATCTCGGTCATCTCGGTCATCTCAGTTATCTCGGTCATCTCAGTCATCTTCGGTCATCTCGGTCATCTCAGTCAGTCATCTCGGTTATCTCAGTCATCTCGGTCATCTCGGTCATCTCGGTCATCTCGATCATCTCAGTCATCTCGGTCATCTCAGTTATCTCGGTCATCTCAGTCATCTCGGTCATCTCGGTCATCTCAGTCATCTCGGTCATCTCGGTCATCTCAGTCAGTCGACCCGTGGCACCTGCTGGGTCTGCCCCGTGACCTCCTGCCAGCGGGCGTTCGACACTTCACGTGGCCTCATGGTGCACATGGCCTGGCACAAGCGTCGTGGTGACGTCACCGCAACTTAGTGGCGAATGGCGGTTGTTGTTGAGCGAGTGTGTGAGTGAGTGTGTGAGTGAGTGGGTGAGTGTGTGGGTGAGTGTATGAGTGAGTGTGTGAGTGAGTGTGTGTGTGAGTGTGTGGGTGAGTTAGTGAGTGTGTGTGTGTGAGTGTGTGAGTGTGGGTGAGTGAGTGAATGTGTGAGTGGGTGAGTGTGAGTGAGTGAGTGGGTGAGTGTGTGGGTGAGTGAGTGTGTGAGTGTGTGGGTGAGTGAGTGTGTTAGTGAGTGAATGTGTGGGTGAGTGAGTGAGCCTACATGTGAGTGTGAGTGAGTGTGTGAGTAGGTGAGTGTGTGAGTGAGTGTGTGTGTAGGTGAGTGTGTGGGTGAGTTTGTGAGTGTGTGTGTGAGTGAGTGTGTGAGTGAGCGTGTGAGCGAGTCAGTTTTCGTGTGTAAGTGAGTGTGTGAGTGAAAGAGTGAGTCTACATGTTAGCGAGTGCCAGTGTGCATGTGTGTGTGCGTGTATATGGACCTTTCCTGGGTCATCTCAGTCTCAAATGACTACCTGATGCACTGTTTAAACATCGCCACTGGGGAGACAAAGGCGGCAGGGCGTGGTGCTGGCCACCCAGCCCCTCGGGTGCAGTTCCGGCCTTCGTACATACTGCCCGCTAACAGCACTTGCCCCAACAATCCGTTAAGGCTACACGGGGGATCTTTGTGTTTGTGCAGCATGCCACGGAGACACCACGCACACCTACACCCCCACCTCTCCCCGGTGTCCCTCTCACTCACAGGTTTGGCCGGCCCTGATGCGGAGGACACCGTTGGTACGGAGTCTGGTGAGTTGTGCAGACCCTGCTGGTGTGGCCCAAGCCCTTGGTGTGGCTGCCACTCTCTGTGCCCGTCACGTGGCGTGAACCTCCCATACTCTTAGGTTTTATCGGTAAAGTCACGTAGGTAAAAAATAAAAAATTAACCCGTAAAAACAAAGTTTTTCACTATAAATCATTTATATGCGTGGCGGCTAGAGTCCTCTCGTCCTCTGGCTTGAGATGGCTGCCACCTATGGGTCAGATGATTGCCTGCCACTATTAAGCAATTGGTAATTAAATATAATTTATTTTTTCCTAAAAAGTGCAAAATTTTGGTGAAAAAATTTCACAAAAATAATTGTCTCGCACAACGAGTCTGTGTGCAAAATGTCAGCTCGATTGGATCACGGGAAGTGGGTTAACAAGTAAACCCGTAAAAATAAAGTTTTTCACTCTAAATCCTTTATATGCGTGGCGGCTAGAGTCCTCTCATCCTCTGGCTTGAGATGGCTGCAATCTATGGGTCAGATGATTGTCTGCCAGTATTAAACAATTGGTAATTAAATATTTAATTTGTTTTCCCTAAAACAGTGTAAAATTTTGGAAAAAAATTTTCACGAACATTAATTGTCTCGCACAACGAGTCTGTGTGGAAAATGTCAGCTCGATTGGATCACGGGAAGTGGGTTAAAAAACGACCGAAAGATTTGCACGGTCGTAAGCAAGCAAGCAAGTGAACTTAATATAAAGGATTTAAAAAGAAAAATTTATAAAAGTAATTTTTTTTTTTACCTACGTGACTTTACCGAAAAAACCTACGAGTATGAATCATTGCAGTCACGAAAGCTTCAAATCGTGAACCTCCCAATTGTTGCGTCCGCAACACCCCGCGATGTTTGTAACTTTCGGTGTGGCTGATTGACCAGGGTGGACCATTGGCGATGTTGCCGTGAATGTGGCCATTACCTGGTCTCCGTGGTGTGGCCGGTATTTTTTCTGGTATGGCCAATCCGCAGTGTAGTTCGCTGGTTTCGCTGACCCCTTTGAAGTGGTGAGCCCCGATGCTGTGGTTTCCATGGTGTGGCTAGCGGAACAAAAAATTACGTTGTGGTCGATTTTGTCCAAAAAATATTGGTGTGTGTTCGTCCCAATCGCGAGGCACCAATCGCATCAGCTGCTCATCTCGTATTTATCCACGCCCGCCACTGTTGTGGCCGCTACTACCCTCTGCCAAATCATCGCTGGTAGCCTCCGTATGGTGCCGGAAGAGTTAAACGTTACCATGAAATACGAACATTGTTTTTTGTATTTGACCAGGTGAGACTCCACTGAGCTATGTAGCTCTTTTAAATGTTTTGGTTTCGGAAGTTACGTGGCCACAAATTATAGCCCAACGAAGTTGCTTACCATCGTGCAGAAAATTAATAGCAGGAGCAGTAACTACTCTAAATGCACGTCGATTGTTAATACGGAGGGAAAAACCTGAGGACCCGGAGAAAAATCCACGCGAACACAGGGAGAAAAACACACAAACTACAAACATGCAGCAGCACGACCTCCTGTAGACCACGTGAGGTAGTTAACATCCCCTAGCCACGGTGATGACGATGAGAGAGAGAGAAACTCGCAAACTCCAAATACACAGCAGCAGGCGTCAGGGTCGGGATCGAACCCACGACCTCCTGTACACCAGGTGAGGTAGTTAACATCTCCTAGTCACCGTGATGATGAGAGAGAGAGAGAGAAACTCGTAAACTCCAAATATATAGCAGCAGGGGTCAGGGTCGGGATCGAACCCACGACCTCCTGTAGACCAAGCGAGGTAGTCAACATCTCCTAGTCACCGTGATGATGTTGAGAGAGAGAGAGAGACACGCAAACTCCAAATATACAGCAGCAGGCGTCAGGGTCGGGATCGAATCAACGACCTCCTGCACACCAGGCGAGGTAGTTAACATCTCCTAGCCACCGTGATGACGATGATGAGAGATAGAGCGCGAAAGACACGCAAACTTCAAATATGCAGCAATAATCAAGGTCGGGATCGAACCCACGACCTCCTGTATACCAGGCGACGTAGTTAACATCCCTTAGCCACCGTGATGACGATGAGAGAGAGAGACACGCAAACTCCAAATATGCAACAAGCATCAAGGTCGGGATCGAACCCACGACCTCCTGTATACCAAGCAAGGTAGTTAACATCTCCAAGCCTTGACATGCACACGGGGACTCCGCTACTTACGAAACAGGCCTCTGGAAACCGGCTCGTTCGTAAGTAGAAGAGTCCCTGTATATTTCGATTTAAAGCTTTCGTGACTGCAGGGATTCATCTTGCTGGTTCTTTCGGTAAAGTCACGTAGGAGGGAGATAATAAAATAAAAATGATAAAAATAATAAAACATAATAAAATAATACAATTATTTGTATTACAATTATTTTATTATATTTTATCAAATATAATAAAATAAAACATAATAAAATAATGAAAATAAAACATATTAAAATAATTTTATGTTTAATTTTTATTATTTTATTATCTCCCTTCTACATGACTTTACCGAAACAGCCAAGTAGATGAGTCCCTGTATATACAACAATCCCCCCTTCTATTCCTCCACCTCTCACCACTTGACCCCGCCCAGCCGTTCCCACTCTTGGCGTGGCCGCCGCCGCCGTCGTCCAGGTCGACCTCTGCTCCTCGCCGTGTTCGTGCTCCGAGCGGGAGGGCGCCTGGGAGGTGGACTGCGAGGCCCGGGGGTTGGGGCCGGCATCGGCGTTGCCGCCGCCGCCCTCGGCCGCCCGCTCCTACCGCCTCTACCTGGCGCGCAACCCGCTGGGCCGCCTGGCGCCCGGAGACCTCGTCAACCACAGCGGCGCCGTGCTCGCGCACCTCGGCAGCGCCGAGATCGACGACATCGAGGTGGGCGGTGCGTGTGTGCGTGTGTGTGCTTGTGCGTGTGTGTATGAGTGTGTGTCCGTGTGTGTGCTTGTGTGTGCGTGCATGTGTGTGTGTGCTTGTGTGCGTCTGTATGTGCGTGTGTGTGTCCGTGTGTGTGCGTGTGCATGTGTGTCCATGTGTGTGCTTGTGTGCGTGTGCGTGTGTGCGTGTGTGTGCTTGTGTGTGTGTATGTGTGTGTGTGTGCTTGTGTGTGCATGTGTGTGCGTGTGTGCGTGCGTGTGTGTGCGTGTGTGCATGTGTGTGTGTATGTGCGTTTGTGTCCGTGTGTGTGCTTGTGTGCGTGTGTGCAGGTGTGTGCATGTGTGTGCGTGTGTATGTGTGCGTGTGTGCGTGCGTGTGTGCTCGTGTGCCATTACCAGTGACGATAATTTGAACCGGTCCTGGGTCTCCCCTAGGTCGACTCAGCCTCAAATGAGTACCTGGTGCGGTGTGTAAACATCGTCACTGGGGAGACAAAGGCGGTCGGGCATGGTGCTGGCCACCCACCTCCTCGTGTGCCGTGCTGGCCTTCATAGGTGCTCGCTAATAGCACTTGCCCCTACAGTCTGTTAAGGATATACGGGGGATCTTTTATTTTTGTCCCTGGGGGTGAGGTTAAAAGGGTAGGGGTAGAGGTGAGGCCAGGGTAGGTGTTGGTGTGGATCGAGTGTTTCTCCCTCGCATGCTTGGTTATTTACCCTCCACACGTATAACAAACACTCTCTTCATTGGCCAACACCACCTTTTCACATGTAGAGAACCGCGTGCGCGATTGCAGCGTCACGATGGCCATTGTGCCGTTGTGACGTCACGCTCAATGACGTCACAATCGCCATCGTGACGTCACGCCCAATGACGTCACAGTCGCCGCCGCCATTGTGACGGGGCCACGCGACGCCATTGTTGCAGGACGGCGCATTCGTCGGCTGGCGGTCGCTCAAGAAGCTTTTCCTCAACGGCAACAACCTCGAGTCGCTGCGCAACGACACCCTGCAGGGGCTGGACTCGCTCGAGTACCTGCAGGCCGACTACAACCTCCTCAGCTACCTGGAGGCCGGCGCGTTTGCCAACACCCCGCGTCTCAAGGTACGCGAGCCCTCGCCACGAGAATGCGGACATTTTGTTTTTTGTCGTCCGCCCTCCGTGTCCCCTGCCGCCCGCTCCGCTCCCTCCACCCCCTCCGGCCCTTCCCCACGCGTCGTTCGATTCTTGCCGCTGCCACCCCCACCGACGGCACACCCCCCCCCCCAGGGTCCTAGTAAGACGGCACGGTGGGCTGGTGTGAGGTGGGTATCGTTGCCTCCGTCTGACTGATGGCCTTAATCTAAGTTGTCTTGTGGTTGTTGTTGTTGTTGTTTGACTTGCATCCCACTGGGATTTTTGCACACAGCGTTGGTGTGTAACGGTGTTTTTTCTGCAATATTTTGCTGTCTTTTCTTGGATTTTCTGTTTGCACTCACTCACATATTCACTACAAGATGTTTTTTGTTCATGTTTTTGTTTTTTGTTTGCTGCGGTTGCACCCGATTCAAGAGTCGAATGGCTCACAGGGCTATACCTAATACATGAACTTGACTCTGCGTGGTGACGAATGAATAAATGACCTCTCGCGCCTTTGTGTGTGGGGGGGGCGGTGACGGCGGCCGCAGGTCCTCATCCTCAACGACAACCTCCTCTCGTCGCTGCCCGCTCACTGCCTGCGCCCCTTGTCGCTCACCCACCTCGACCTGCGGGGAAACCGCGTGCGCACCCTCGCCTACGGCGGCCTCCTCGAGCACCTCAACCGCGTGCTCGAGCTGCAGCTCGACGAGAACCCGTGGAACTGCTCCTGCGACCTGCTCAGCATGCGCCGCTGGCTCGACAACGTCCCCTACTCAGCGCTCCTCGGCGACGTCACGTGCGAGACGCCGTTCCGCCTCCACGGCAAGCAGCTCCGTGACGTTCCGCGCTCCGAGCTGTGCCAGCGGCGGGCCGCGTCGCCGTCCGGCGGCGGCGGCGGCAGCGCCGCGTCGGGAGGGAGATTGTCGCGCGGTAATAGCCACGGCGGCGGCGGCGGTGGTCACAATGTTCACAACCAACAGCAGCCGAACCAACACAACAACCACCACGGCCACCACGGCCACCACCACCACCAGCAGAAGACGCAGCAGCAGGGGCACGGCGATCGTAAGGGCGACGGTGGCGGCGGTGACCGAGAAGAGCGGACGATGAAAAAATCGAAGAGGCCACCGGATGGAGGCGGCGGCGGCAACGTGACGACGGAGAGCGGCGGCGGCGGCGACGGGGGCGGCCGCGAGGTCCCGAAGTCGTCGGCGTCGTTCTCCTCGTCGCTCACCTCCACGACGGCGCCGCCGGTGGCCACGACGACGTCGCTCGCCACCACCACGATGGCGACGGCGGCGGTGGCGACGACGACGACGGTGGCGCCGCGTGCCTCCTCCACGCGCCACCCCAAGGCCACGGTGCGAAACCCGCGGCCATCCACACGCTCCACCAGCCACCACCACCATCACCAGCAGCAGCATCAGCACAACCAGGTAAGTGTGTCGACGGGTCTCTCTGTGTGAGAGTCTGTGGGTTTCTGTGTGTAGTCTGTGGGTTTCTGTGTGAGTCTGTGGGTCTCTGTGTGCAGTCTGTGGGTATCTGTGTGTAGTCTGTGGGTCTCTGTGTGCAGTCTGTGGGTCTCTGTGTGCAGTCTGTGGGTATCTGTGTGTAGTCTGTGGGTCTCTGTGTGCAGTCTGTGGGTCTCTGTGTGCAGTCTGTGGGTCTCTGTGTGCAGTCTGTGGGTATCTGTGTGAGTCTGTGGGTCTCTGTGTGAGTCTGTGGGTCTCTGTGTGAGTCTGTGGGTCTCTGTGTGCAGTCTGTTGGTATCTGTGTGAGTCTGTGGGTCTCTGTGTGAGTCTGTGGGTCTCTGTGTGAAGTCTGTGGGTCTTTGTGTGTAGTCTGTGGGTCTCTTTGTGTAGTCTGTGGGTCTCTGTATGTAGTCTGTGGGTCTTTGTATGAGAGTCTGTGGGTCTCTATGTGAAGTATGTGGATCTGTGTGTGAGTCTGTGGGTCTCTGTGTGTAGTCTGTGGGTCTCTGTGTGAGTCTGTGGGTCTCTGTGTGTAGTCTGTGGGTCTCTGTGTGCAGTCTGTGGGTATCTGTGTGAGTCTGTGGGTCTCTTTGTGAGTCTGTGGGTCTCTGTGTGAGTCTGTGGGTCTCTGTGTGTAGTCTGTGGGTCTTTGTGTGTAGTCTGTGGGTCTCTGTGTGAGTCTGTGGGTCTCTGTGTGAGTCTGTGGGTCTCTGTGTGAGAGTCTGTGGGTCTCTGTGTGTAGTCTGTGGGTCTCTGTGTGAAGTCTACGGGTCTCTCTGTGTGAGAGTCTGTGGGTCTCTGTGTGAGTCTGTGGGTCTCTGTGTGAGTCTGTGGGTCTCTGTGTGAGAGTCTGTGGGTTTCTGTGTGTAGTCTGTGGGTCTCTGTGTGTAGTCTGTGGGTCTCTGTGTGAGTCTGTGGGTCTCTGTGTGTAGTCCGTGGGTCTCTGTGTGAGTCTGTGGGCCGCTGTGTGAGAGTCGGTGGGTCTCTGTGTGAGTCTGTGGGTCTCTGTGTGAGTCTGTGGGTCTCTGTGTGAGCTATGAGTCTGTGGGTCTGTGTGAAGTCTACGGGTCTCTCTGTGTGAGAGTCTGTGAGTCTCTGTGTGAAGTCTGTGGGTCTCTCTGTGTGAGAGTCTGTGGGCCTCTGTGTGAGAGTCTGTGGGTCTCTGTGTGAGTCTGTGGGCTGCTGTGCGAGCTATTAGTCTGTGGGTCTCTGTGTGAAGTCTATGGGTCTCTGTGTGAGTCTCTGAGTCCATTGGTCTATGCGTGAGTCTATTGAGTTTGAGTTGATTTGATTTCTTACACGGATGATGACAGTCCGGTACGAGCACAGCAAGACGAAACGACATCAATGTAAGATGTAATGTTTTTATTTTACCAGGTGAGGCCCACTGCATATCACAAATGATAGCTCAACGAAGTGGACTTATTATCATCATCATGATCACGTGGACATTTAAAGCAGCAGCCACTCCATCTTGACTCGTGATGTCGATTCTAAATGTGGAAGGGAAAACCCAGAGGACCCAGAGAAATATCCACGCGACCACGGGGAGAGAGAGACACGCAAACTCCAAACATACAGCAGTCGTCGTCAGGGTCAGAATCGAACCCACGACCTCCTGTACACCAGGCGAGGTAGTTAACATCTCCTAGCCACCGTGGTGATGATGAGATAGAGAGAGAGACGCAAACTCCAAATAAATAGGGGGGGTCAGTTCGAACTGACGATCGCCTGTATACGAGGCGAGGTAGTTAACATCTCCTAGCCACCGTGATGATGATGAGAGAGACACGCAAACTCCAAATACACAGCAGGCATCATCAGGGTCCGGATCGAACCCACGACCTCCTGTATACCAGACGAGGAAGTTAACATCTCCTAGCCACCGTGATGATGATGCTGATGAGAGAGACACACAAACTCCAAATATACAGCAGCAGGCGTCAGGGTCAAGATCGAACCCACGACCTCCTGTACACCAGGCGAGGTAGTTAACATCTCATAGCCACCGTGATGATGATGAGAGAGAGAGAGACACGCAAACTCCAAATATACAGCAGCAGGCGTCAGGGTCGGGGTCGAACCCACGACCTCCTGTACACCAGGCGAGGTAGTTAACATCTCCTAGCCACCGTGACCCCCTCCACCACCCCCACTCACCCCGCCTACTCGCTGGTCGCGACACCACAACAACAACAACTACGGTAACGTAGTAAGATGGGGGGTGGTTGCGTTGTATTTGTAAGTGTTTGGATGATTTGTTTACTTTCCTATACTTTGTAATTCCTATCGTGTTTCTTTTAGATTGATTGTTGTCGTGACGTTCTTACCCCGTGCCCCGACTGGACATCTGTGAGCAAGCCGTCACGGCTCATCGGATTCCTCCAGCGGTCTAATTAGAAATAAACTCTGATTCTGTGGAATTCTCTCTCTCGCTCTCTCATCCTTCACGCCACCACCACCACGACCACCACCACCACGAACACCACCACCACGAACACCACCACGACCACCACCACCACGACCACCACCACGACCACCACCACCACGACCACCACCACCACGACCACCACGACCACCACCACGACCACCACCACGACCACCACCACCTCGGCACGGGATTTCTCCTCCACCTCCCTCCATCCTTTCCCTCTCTCCTCCTCTCTCCTCCCCCCTCTCTCCTACCTCCTTTCTCCTCCTCCTTCCCCCTCTTCCCTCCCTCCCCCACCCCCCCTATCCCCTCCGCCCCCTCGCCCCTCCCTCCTCTCTTCTCCTCCCCCCTCTCTCCTCCTCCTCCCCTCCCCCCTCTTTTCCCCACCCCCTCCTCCCTCCTTCCCCCTCTCTCCTCCTCCCATCTCCCCCCTCCTCCGCCCTCCTTTCCCCTCCCCCTCCTCCCCCCTCCTCCTTCCCCCTCCTTCCCCCCCCCCTCCTCCCTTCCCTCTCCTCCTTCCCCCTCTCTCCTCTCTCCTCCTCCCCCCTCCTCCCCTCCCCCTCCCCCCCTCTCCCTCCCCTCTCCCCCCCTCCCCCCCCCTATCCTTCCTCCCCCTCCCCCCTCACTCCTCTCTCCTCCTCCTTCCTCCCCTTCCCCCCTCCTCCCCCTCCACCTTCCTCCCTCCCCCTCCTTCCCCCCCCCTCCTCCCTCCCCTCTCCTTCCTCCCCCTCTCTCCTCTCTCCTCCCCCCTCCTCCCTCCCTCCCTCCCCCTCCTCTCCCCCCTCTCCTTTTTCCCCCTCTCTCCTCCTCCCTCCCTTCCTCCCCCTCCTCCCCCCTCCTCCTCCCTCTCCCCCCCTCCTCCCTCCCCCCTCCTCCCTCCCCTCTCCTTCCTCCCCCTCTCTCCTCTCTCCTCCCCCTCCTCCCTCCCTCCCCCTCCTCTCCCCCCTCTCCTTTTTCCCCCTCTCTCCTCCTCCCTCCCTTCCTCCCCCTCCTCCCCCCTCCTCCCCCCTCTCCCCCCCTCCTCCCTCCCCCCTCCTCCCTCCCCTCTCCTTCCTCCCCCTCTCTCCTCTCTCCTCCTCCCTCCCTCCCCCTCCTCCCCCCCCCCCCTCCTTTTTCCCCCTCTCTCCTCTCTCCTCCTCCTCCTCCCATCCTCCCCCTCCCCCACCCCCCACCCCCTCCCTCCCCCGCCCCCCCCCCGCAGCGCCCCCCGATCCCCGTGCAGTGTCCCACGGCGTGCGCGTGCGTCGTGCACACCGCCGACCTCGGCCTGAGCGTCAACTGCCAGGAGCGCGGCATCGAGCGCCTCTCGTCGCTGCGCCCGCGACCCGGCGACCCCAAGAAGCTCTACCTCACCGGCAACGCCCTCGGGCGGGTCATGCGCGGCGACCTCGAAGGCCTGCGCGCCCTCGACCTCCTCCACCTGGCCGCCAACCGCATCGCGTACGTCGAGGAGGGCTCGTTCGACGACCTCGGCGGACTCCGTCGGCTGCACCTGAACGGCAACGACCTGGCGCGACTCACGCCCGGGATGCTCTCGGGTCTCGGCAGCCTCCAGTACCTGTACGCGGAGTACAACGTGCTCCGCGAGGTGGCTCCGGGCACGTTCGAGCGCACGCCCCAGCTGCGGCTGCTGTTCCTCAACAACAACCTGCTGCGCTGGCTGCCCGCCGGCGCGTTCGCCGCGACGCCCGAACTCGCGCGCCTCAACCTGCGCGGCAACCACTTCAGGGCGCTGCCCGTCGCGGGGGTGCTGGATCGCATCAGCGCGCCGCTCGTGCAGGTGATGATGGGTGGGGTGGGTGGGTGGGTGGGTGGTGGGTGGGAGGGTGGGGAGGGTGGGGGGGTGGGGTGGGGAGGGGGGTGGGGTGGGGTCGGTGGGGTGGGGGTGGGTGGAGAGGGTGGGGTGGGTGGGGTGGGTGGGGGGTGGGGTGAGTGGGTGGGTGGGGTCGGTGGGGTGGTGATGGTGGGGTGATGGGGTAGGTGGGGTGGGGTCGGTGCGGTGGGGTGGGTCGGGGTGGAACGGGTGGGTGCGGTGGGGTGGGTGGGATGGGGTTTGGTGGGTGGGGTGGTGTGGGGTGGGGGGATTGAGGGTGGGGGGTGTTGAGGGAGGTGGTGGGGATTGGGGGGGGTGTTTAGTTGGTTGGTGGTGGTGGTGTTGGGTTGGTTGGTGGTGTTGGGTTGGTGGCGCTGGTGGTGTTGGGTTAGTTGGTTGGTGGTGGTGGTGTTGGGTTGGTGGCGCTGGTGGTGTTGGGTTGGTTGGTGGTGGTGGTGGTGGTGTTGGGTTGGTTAGTGGTGTTGGGTTGGTTGGTGGTGGTGGTGGTGGTGGTGTTGGGTGCCCATCGCCAGAGTGTGGTTCACAAGATTTGGAGCCTTTTTGGCCGCTACAAAAGAAGGCCGCTGTCTCTGTTGTAGTCCAATCAGTTTCAAAGACAATGCCCATTTACTATCAGAGACACGTGTTTTGTTTGCATGTTCACCACCAGTACCGTGTGTGTGGTTAATGCAGTAACTTTATTCCTTGAAAAAGGTTTCGATTTGTTGTTTAAACATTATAACACAACTCCTGTGTTAGTGCCAGAAAGGGTAAACCCTACTGTTATTTCAGCAAAGATTTGGAGCATTTTTTTTACCGGTTTCGCCGGATCACCTCCCGCCCCGCCACCGCCCTATAACGTTACCAGCATCCGTTAAATCGCGCGGTGCCGGATATAATCGATGTCCAACTCCGGTTGTTGCGGTGATGCAGGTGGACCTCCACGAAAACCCGTGGGACTGCACGTGCCCCCTGGCCGACCTGCGGCGGTGGATGCTCGAGGAACTGAGCGCCGGCATCGTCGTGGGCGAGGTGACCTGCGAGTCTCCGGTGCGGCTTGCCGGGCGCGACGTCCGCTCGCTGCCCTGGGAGGTGCTGTGCCCTCTTCCGCACGACGGCGACGACGGTGACGACGTCGCGGCGGCGGCCCTCATCCCGGCGGCCCCCGCCATCACCGGGCGACCGCAGCCCGCGGCCGTCTCCCCGCCTTCGCCGGTCGGCGAGGGCGCCGGACGTCCCCTCCCGCCGGTGGCCGAAGCCGGGACCGCCGGCCCCGGCACGCCGGAGGTCTCGGCCGTTCCTCTCTCGGTGCTCATCCTCAGCCTCCTCGCCGTGTTCGTGGCGACCGTCTTCGCCGCCGCGGGTCTCCTGGTCTTCGTGCTCCGGAGGCGGAGGCTCGGGCAGGCAGTCGGCGGTGGCGGCGGAGGTGGAGGTGGAGCGGGTGGAGTCGGCGGAGGAGGAGCGGGCAGGGCGGTCGCGCTCAAGCGCAAGCGGGGAGTCTCCGGCCGCGCAGGGCAGGTGGGTCTTGGGTTGGCGGCGGGAGGGGGGGGGGCGGTGTTGCAACGATGACGCAAAGGGGTCGGAGTTCGCACGCGTCGCAAAATTGTTTGCACGGCCTCACGCGGGGGTACACGGAGGGGGTACACCCACCTATAGGCTGTACAATCCCTCCCCACCACACCTGTGGACCGTAGCATCCTGCCCCCCCCCCCTCCCCCACCTGTAGACCATACCATCCTACATGTGGTTGGGAGGTAGGAGCGGTGATGAGGGGAGGTAGCCTTTGGGTAAAGTGAGGGGTGCCTGCCATCACGTTCATCTAGCAAGGGGTGGTAGAGGAGGAGGAGGAGGAGGTGGTGGGTCTGGTGGGATGGTCAAGGGAAGAGGAAAGGAAGGGTGGGAAACCTCATGAACTACTTTTTGGGTTTTTTTTAACCAGGTAAGGCCCTAACGCAGCTGTGTAGCCCTTTTTCTAGAAGTGAGCTGGCTATCACAAATGATACTGGTAGGAACCACCTGGTTCCACCAGCCCACCGGGGATTATTGTGTCCGTCTGTCCGTCGTGGATTCAAAAATGGGAGGGGTGGGGCTGGGTGGGGAGGGTGGGGAGGGGCTGCTCACCCCGTGGTGCCCTTATAAAACTCAACGTTTAACCTACTCACGCCGGCTTGTGCCCGCCCTCACAGTCGGCCATATTTGCGGAATACACCACGCCGCCGTTGACCCTGCAGGCCATTGACCGAGCAACCCAACGTTCCTACCAGCTCCCTCCGCAGGAATGTGTTAAGCTTCTCAACGAAGTGGCAACTTCTCATCATCATCATCGTAGTGTGGAAGTTCATAGCGGCAGCCAAATGCTCTCCTCTTAAACGCCGTCGATTCAAAATGTGGAGGGGTAAAAAGCGGAGGAGCTGGAGAAAAATCCACGCGACCACGGAGAGAGAGAGACACCCAAACTCCAAACATACATCAGGCATCGTCAGGGTTGGGATCGAACCCACGTACCTCCTGTAAACTAGGCGAGGTAATTGACATCTCGCTCTGTTCCAGTAGTTCTTCTTCTTCTTAACCCGGGGTGCACGCAACCCCAGGGAGTGCGAGATGCACTTTCTGGGGGTGTGCAAGACACGGCCACATTTTTTTCTTTAGAAGGTAAATCATCGAAACACAAATCAAACACGGGCAACGTAAATTGCAACTTACTCTGTTTCATAAAACCCCTACGTAGTTCTAGATTTGAAGCTTTCGTGACTGCAAGGATTCATATTTTGAAATCCTTTATATTAAGTTCGCTTGCTTGCTTGCTTGCGTGCTTGCTTGCTTGCTTAGGACTGTGCAAATCTTTCGCTCGTTTTTAACCGACTTCCCGTGATCCAATCGAGCTGACATTTTGCACACAGACTCGTTATGCGAGACAATTAATGTTCGTGAAATTTTTATTTTTTTATTTTGCACTGTTTAGGGAAAACAAATTAAATATTTAATTACCAATTGCTTAATACTGGCAGACAATCATCTGATCCATAGGTGGCAGCCATCTCAAGCCAGAGGACGAGAAGACTCTAGCCGCCACACATATAAAGGATTTATAGTGAAAAACGTTGTTTTTACGGGTTTACTTGTTAGGTTGTTTCGGTAAAGTCACGTAGGCAAAACATTTTAATTAATAAAAGTAAAATAAAATAAAAATCACGACGTTTTAGGAGGCAACACAAGCTTCCGTCTTCAGGTGGAACCGTCACAACCACGACAGCTGTATCAAGTAAATGAGAGATAACAAGAGCTACCACTCCGTATATATAATGGCTCAGCCTCTTAAGACTCACCTTACCATATCAATAAAAAGTGTGCCGTACTTGGCCCTTCCCCCTCTCCAACCATTATATATACGGAGTGGTAGCCCTACGTAGTAATTAACATTGCACATTTGTTTTACGATTCAGATCCAAAAGGGCGCAAGGCTGCAGTAAAGGTTACGAATCACCACTGGTTTAGAGCGTCTGCCACTTGCACCGTTTTAAAGACGCGGTAATATCCCCCCCCCTCTCCCCTGTATACCAGGCGAGGTAGTTAACATCTCGCTCTATTCGTACAAATGGGTGCGCGTGTCCGATTGCGCATCGTTGCGGTTAAAACCCGGCCAATATCCGCCGGCCCCGTCGACCCGCACACGCGCTCCCCCACGATCTTAATCCGCACAGCAAATAAAATGGAGAAATTGGGATCACCCTTTGCTTAACAAGTTGTACGCACACACAAAAAAATTAACCCGTAAAAACAAAGTTTTTCACTATAAATCCTTTATATGCGTGGCATCGGCGCGGCTAGAGTCCTCTCGTCCTCTGGCTTGAGATGGCTGCCACCTATGGGTCAGATGATTGTCTGGCAGCATTCAACAATTGGTAATTATTTTTTTTTCCTTTTTCCCTAAACAGTGTAAAAATTTGGAAACATTTTACACGAAAATGCATTGTCATGCACAACGAATCTGTGTGCAAAATGTCAGCTCGATTGGATCACTGGAAGTGGGTTAAAAAACGACCGAAAGATTTGCACGGTCCTAAGCAAGCAAGCGAACTTAATATAAAGGATTTAAAAGGGAAAGAAAGAATTGCCATTGTTAAACCTTGTCACTTTTTATAAGCCGGAGAAATGTACGTCTAGATAGCTGCCTTGGTGCTTGCCTAACAAATAGAAAGAAGTAACCGTGCTTTTTGGAAAGCAGTCTTTTCAACGTTTATTGAGTATTATTATGCATTCTTTTTTTAATATGCAATTATTTTTTGAGCTCTGTAACTGACACTACATGTCGTTGTTGCATGCTGCGACTTACGTGTGGTGTATTTTGCAGTAGTTTTCTGTGATTGGACAACATCTGTCACGTGTAGCACATTTTTCAGTAACTTTTTAACTGACTGTCTGTGATTGGACAGAACCTGTCACGTGTAGCACATTTTGCAGTAACTTTTTAACTATGAATGTCTGTGATTGGACGGAACCTGTCACGTGTAGCACATTTTGCAGTAACTTTTTAACTATGACTCTCTGTGATTGGACGGAACCTGTCACGTGTAGCACATTTTGCAGTAACTTCTTCACTATAACCGTTTGTGATTGGACGGAGCCTGTCACGTGTAGCACATTTTGCAGTAACTTCTTCACTATAATCGTTTGTGATTGGACGGAGCCTGTCACGTGTGTGTACGTATGTATGTTGAACTTCTTTCACACCGTACGTAGCCAAACGTGTTAATCGGAGGTGCGGGATCGGGTGGAAGGATAAATTAACTTCACAGGGCTCAGACGCCCTTGGCATGAGGATAAAAGCAGCTCCCATCGGGTAAAACAAACCAGTGCTGTGATTGTCCATCCGTCAATTCATCTGTCTGTTCGTCCATCTGTCTGTCCGTCCATCTGTCCATCTATCCATCCGTCCATTTGTCCGTGTGTCTGTCTGTGCATCTGTCTGTCCGTCCATTCGTCCATCTATCCATCCGTCCATTTGTCCATGCGTCTGTCCGTCCATCTGTCTGTCCGTCCATCTGTCCATCTATCCATCCGTCCATTTGTCCGTGTGTCTGTCCGTGCATCTGTCTGTCCATCCATTCGTCCGTTTGTCCACGCGTCCATTAGTCTGTCTCGCCAGCGTCACCACCGTATCTGCCATAAAGATGATCAGATGTGAGCGGAACTTGAGTCTGACGGTTGCGTTGCTGTTCGGGGTTGGATGGAAGAAGAAGAAAAAGAAAACAGGCAAATTGATCGTAGGATTTTTTTTTGGCCAAACCTTGAGGAGACACAAGCCCAGGGTCCATCGGAAGGAGGCTCAGTAGTTAGTAAATCCCGATCCTGCGCGTCGATGCCATTTGCCCTGGACGGTTTTTGCCGGGACTGCGTCCATACCGCGAAAAGAAATAAGTTCACAAGGACACACCGACAAACGCAAAGACGAAAAGTCTTCTGCCGCTCGTCGCTAGCGTCAAAGGTCACCAGCCGGCATCGATGTCTTCTGCTCGTCTCCCGGTTCGCTTCGCCCAGACCCAGTTGTGGGAAATCTCCACGCTGCTACAGCTCGGAGGGGTCAGTTCTATCCACTGTCAAGTCAAGTTCCCGTATTTTAGTTGTTGTTGTGACACCGCGTGAGTGTGGCTGTGGTACAAATTGAAAGTCAGCCTCGACTTGAATCGCCGATCTTCTTGCTGATGTGAGCCAAACGAATTAAGTGGGGGGTGTGTGGAGGAGGCTCGTGAAGGATGCAGCTGTGCAGTTGGAGGCAGTCGCCTCTCCGGCAACAACGGAGGGCAGAGGAGCGACGCTCACAACAACGTGCGGAGCGTCGGGTGGCTAAAGCACAGCGAGTTGGCACGTAAGGGGGTACAGCTGGTGCATCTGCCACTCATCTCAGTCAGCCAACCGAAATGACCACCTGGGTCTGTCCGGTGACCTTACAGCGAGCCTTCGACAATTCACGTGGCAATTCAAAGCAGGCTGCGACGGGAATCACCGATCTTGCTGATTTGAGCCAAACAAATTAAGTCAGGAGGGGGGGGGGGGTGTGGAGGAGGCTCGTGAAAGACGCTGCTGCTGCTGCTACTGGGCAGTTGGAGGCAGTCGCCCCTCCAGCAACGACTTAGGGCAGAGGAGCGACGCTCACAACAACGATCGGAGCGCTGGGCGTATAAAAAACAGCCATTTACACAAGGAGTCATGACTCCTTGTTAAAAGGTGTCAGTTTTATTGCCAGATAGAAGGGTAAAAAAAAACAATTATCATATTTTTTACTGACAAATGAGGTTCCAATGGTGTAAATGCTTCACCCCGAGCTCTCATACTCTGATGGTGCATTGTCTTTGAGTTGTGCGCCATTTGGCGTCATCTGGTCCAACCCATGTGAGACTAGGCTCTAAGAAAAGCTGTCTCGGGTGTGGACCAATCAACTTCAAGAACAGTGCATACAGAGTTATGTTTTTTGTTTGCATTATGACTGCAGGTATTGTGGTCTATGCAAACATGACTCC